ACTACACATTCAGCCATTAAAAGGTTAATTTTGATTAGATTACAGCATAGGCTACTGCTGATGCTAATCAAGTAGAAGAAAGTGGCTGAGCCTGGGCACTGGTACTTACATTCACAGGCTGTCCTGATGGCTTGTGCTTTTGGCCACAGACACTCCAGCAGAATTTTTGTTTCCTCACAAATCAGCATACATTCAATCCGCAACTGGTAGCTAAAAAGAGATCAGTGGAAAAAAACCACAATGAACACCATGGAAAACAAACCCCACAGGCCTGATTAATTGACTTGTGTTCAACAAGAGCATCATCCATTTTAGGCAAAGCTCAGTACCAACATTCTTATGGTCTCTTTAATGCTCTGACATGAGAACTGGATTATATATAAATCAAACACAGATATTTCCAAAGATGTCCTAGGAACAATTATTATCTCCTCTTTCAGAAAGCAATGCTGGACTGACATCTGGCAGTGACTACCTTGCATAATGAGGCCATATTTTTTTTTACAATTCCTGGGCAACACTAGCCAGGGTTTTAGTTCTTTTTAACTTCAGGAACAGAAACTTGAAGTATTTTGGCAGTGATACCCTTTAATGACATTTATACTTCATCACGGATTAATATTGTGGAAGGAAAACATTTTCTAAAGGACTTTTAAATCTAGCTAGAAGTTTGAGAAAATGAAAAGCCACATTTGCACCACCACATTTTCAAAAAAGTGTCTCTGTTTGTGGCATGGCAACTGATCAGATTTACGGAGGGCTATTGCTATTAATTGTAACATATCACCATGGTTTTGAGACAGCAGAAAGAGTTCTCTGTGTGTGCCTCATTTGACTTGGTAAAAACTGGGGAGGTGGTGAAAGCACAGGCACTGCTGTGATTCACTTGTGGATTTGTGGGCTCTCCAGTGGGTGAACTGGAATTTGTAGCCCAGGGGTGGAGTGAATCAGCAGCCTGGTGACAGGATTCAGTCTGCAGCTTCACACCACATAGGAATAGCTGTTCCACAGTCAAGGGTTTTTTCATACCAAGGTTATTTTAACTGTAGTTTGACAAAGGTGTCTGAAAGTCTCTCTGGCCTTTGGGAAGGAAAAATATTCTCATACAAGCTCTACAAATAGCAGTCAGATGATTTATCCTGAAGACTGGATGTCAGGAACATCCCTCTAGCACAAGGAACAGAGGCCTTAATTTTCATGGACAAGTCTTGTAAGAACCACACTCATGGAAAGAGACAAGGAAGGTTTTGCTTACCTGGGAACTTCCAAAAGATGGAGATAAAACTGATCTGCATTTGCCAGCTGTGATTTTTCTTCTTTGTACGATTTCAGGCTATTTATCTAACAGGGAAAAATAGAGCAAAATAACCACACTAATTTAACAGGGAAAATAACCACACATACATTTCTGTATGTGCCATTTTCTTCTTACAGGCATGACACTGGCCTTTCTGAACTTGCTGTGTGTACAGGCAGTGAGACTAAAGCAGATGAACAATAAATTCTATGTATAAACTGGTTTTCAAGGGCAAACATGTAGGTTTTGTTTTAACTGAGAGGTCTTTTGCCTTTGTATAGCATCTCCTAGGATGAATTCCTGATCTGTAGGCAGGGATTCAGCATGTTATAATACACAGACACTGAGAAACCCCTTTAAAAGGATGTCCTTTTAAAGTATCCTTTCCCTTCCTCTTTTTTGAAACTTGCTCTGGAAGACTCTGTTCAGCTAAGTCCATAAACCCTAAGATGCTTCATCCACCTAATTAAAATAACAGGATAGGGAGCAGCACTTTTTCTACACGTGTTGAGTCTCCCAACACACTCTGGTTCAACCGCTGTGTGAAGAGGCCAGACTGTTGCTGGGATGGACTTCCCACCACTTTGCCTTGGAATTTCATTGACCTAGATGCAGCAGAAGGATGTGGGGTCCAGTCATAGCTTCTTGCTTTAGCAGCACAAGTTCTGAGCTGAGCACACAACGCACTGAACTCCACCAGAATAATAGATACCTCCTGGTCTTCAGGCAGCAGTTTAAGTAGCTGTTTCAGTATCTCAGCATCCAGCTTGGATCTATCCCCTTTCTGAATCATGGCAGCAATCTCTTCATTGGAGCTGCAAGAAGGAGAGGAATGCTGTGGAGCATGTGGGGGAGTAACATGGCATAAAAGACCTCAATCTCTCTGCTGGCACTCCAGGAGCAACTGAGGTAATTTATACTACACTTGCCTCCCATTACAGTTTGGATCTTAGTCCTCAAAAGCACTGTGGAGATATGAAAATGCAAAGATTTTTCTTTTAGGCCTAAACCAATATTCCTTACAATTTAGGTGTTGTCTTTGGCCTTTGTTCACTTTTGCACAACAAACCCCAAA